ATCTATCTATCTATCTATCTATCTATCTATCTATCTATCTATCTATCATCTATACACACACACATATGTGTGTGTATATATATATGTCTTGTTATATAGCTCATGCTGACCTTGAATTCACGAGTCCCCTGCTTTAGTCTCTCAAACAGTGGCTGTACAGTCTGGGGATAGCTAGCCCAACCTCTTTGTTTTAGTTAAATATGAAGGACTGTACAGTTTTCGGGATTCTGCTAACGTGTGAGACAAATTCCCTTCCTCCCCAGCTCCGCAAACACACACGGTGATAGCTCGCCCAGGGCAGATGGTACGCACTGGAGGAACACGCTTGCACGTGGCCACTGTCTCTAGCTGCACAGGGGTAGGGGGTGCAGGCCGTGGTCCCCACGGAGCCTCTGTCCATGCTGTATCCTAGGCACAAAGGAAGGTGCTGGAGACAACTAAAGCAGCTGTGCTGTGGAGGGGGTGGGCACTGTGAAGCTCCACAGCGACCCCTAGAGGAAACCGACTGGAAGGGCTGACCCAGTGGGACCAAGGCTAATTAATCTGAGATAAGGAAATTAAAAACCAGGAGCAACAAAGCAGCAACACTCTGAGCTAAACGGCACAGCAGAGTTCTGATTCCTTCCTATTTGGAGGGAGGGGTAGGGGGTTGCTGATTTATTTATTTTTTGAGACAATAACCTGTTAGGTAACTCAGGCTGGCCTTGACCTTGAAATCTTCTGGCCTCAAACTCCTGAGTTCAGACATTGTTGTCCTGACAACCACACCGACCTCCTGACCTCATCTCTTGATCTGACATCTGTTTGCTCATGGAAGCACTAAATGTTCCTTTTTCTCAACGGATTTTATTCTTATGATATAAAACGATACGACATGCTTATAATAGGTTGGCAAAAGTTTCTTCCACTAGACAAGAATGCCCACACTGTGATATAAAACATTAGAAGGGGTCAGGTGCTGATGTGCTTGCCTATAATCCCAGCATGCAGGCCGCTAGAGAAAGAAAATCACAATCTTGTGTCAGGCCTGAGCTGTACAAACAACATTGTTTTAGGAAGAAGAAGCAGGCAGATCTCCGTGAGTTCAAGGCCAGCCTTATCTACAGAGTGAGTTCCAGGACAGCCAAAGCTACACAGAGAAACCCTGCCTCAAAAACAGACAAACCCCAAAACAAACAAACCAAAAAAAAAAAAAAATGAAGCAAACAAACAAAAGAGAACTCCACCCAAGTTAAAATGCTATAAATAGCTGAAGGTAAGCATGGCTGAGAATTTGAAGTTGTCTAAGTTACTGTTCTATTGCTGTGAAGAGACAAAATGACCAAGGCAACTCTTATAAGATAAATCATTTAGCTAGCTAGCGCTTGCTTACAGTTTTAGAGGGCTAGTCCACAATCATCAGGGCAGGAATGGACATGGCTGGAGAGATAGCTGAGGGCTTTACATCCTGGTCTTCAGGCCGAAGGCAGAGAGGCACACACCTAGTGTGAACTTTTCAATCCTCAAAGCCACCCCCCAGTGATACACTTTCTCCAACAAGGCCACACTTTCTAATCCTTCCCAAGCAGTCCCACCAACTGGGGACCAAGAAGTCAAATGTAGGAGCCTATGAGGGCCACCCTCATTCAAACCACCGCAGTTGTATGTCCTCACCAAATGACGAATAAGTATCAGGTAAGATTACAGAGATGATGTATGAGATTTTTACTGTCTCATTTTTAAAACCTATGAGATAGTTTAAAAAGTGCTAAATACAGTGTGAATAATATGAGCTGACGGAATGGACATGAAACCAAAAGAGAAGAGGTGACATAAAACAAATTGACTATTAAAAACAGAGATTAGAGCCAGGCATTCTTTTAATGCATGTCTTTAACCCCAGCACTTGGGAGGCAGAGGAAGACAGATCACTTTGAGTTCCAGGCCAGCTTGGTCTACATAATGAGTTCTAGGACAGCCAGGCTATATAGTGAGATCCTGTCTCAGAAGTCTGTCTGTCTATCTATCTATCTATCTATCTATCTATCTATCTATCTATCTATCTATCTATCTACCTACCTAACAGACTATAATGTTGAAGGTATGTCCAGATAGCTCAGGATGAAAATATTTCAAGTTGTTTTTTGTTCTGGGATGGGGGCAGGCTAGAATTCATGATCCTCCTGCTTCAGCCTCCCAAGTGTCCAGATTAGTGTGTGCCGCCACGCCTAGCTCAGCTGATTTTAATACTTTTCTTGTATTGATCATCATTATATGATAATAAAAGAATCTATCTTCAAAAAGAAAAAAAACCCCACAAATGATCCAAAATACTGTCAACATGAAAAGAATGTTTTGTAATCCCCCCTTCACACACACAGAACACCACAGCATGCCTGTGGGATTTTGCCTTGCCTTTGACCAAAAGAGATTTCTACAATCTTTTCAAAATGGGGGACCAAAATCTAAAATTAATAATCATCATAAGTATTTTAAGCATTTTGAAGTCGGGATGCAAATGTAATTTTTAACATGCTCTCCCGGTGGCTCAGAGCAGTCCAATCCATCCCTTTCAAATCCCATGAGCTATTACATCAAAGATGCTATTATTTGATATATAAATGCTATTAAGGGTAAAAATCTCATCTACAAAGAAACGGGAGAGCTAGAGAAGTTTTGGTGGGAGTAATTTAACCGTGACATTTAATCTGTCACAAGAGCAGTAATAAAACTCTAACACAGAGGAACATTTTTTTCTCCCTGCTCTGGCCTGATGAGTTATACCTGGTTGCTTTATTGCCTGCATTCCTGCGGTCCTGAGCTACGTCTTCGGAGCTGGTGGGAACTCCACCCAGTATCATTAACTCCCTTGTCGTTGCAGATTTGGCCTTAGCTCCTTACAAACTACCTCACAGGCTCCCCTCTAAGTGGCGTGCAGTTTCCATTCCCCACGTCCCCATCTGTGTTACTTTTTTTCTTGTGCTGATGGAAACTAGGCACTCTACCATAGACCTTCTCAGCCTTGACTTTACTGTCTATTTTAAGACTGGGCCTTTATTATTCTCCTGTCTAAACTTCCAGATTGGCTGGGATTGACAGGCCTGTCCTCCCTCCCTTTCTCCCTCCCTTCCTCCCTCTCGCCACTCCCTCCTCCCTTTTTCCTCTCTTTCTTCCTCCCTCTCTCCCTCTCTTCTTCCCTCCTCCCCTCTCTTTCTTCCTTGGTCTCAAGAAGCCCAGACTGGCCTCAAACTCATTCTGTAGCTGAGAAAGACCTTGAACTCTCCATTCTCTTGCTCCTCTCAAGTTCTGGGAGTCCAGGTACACACTGGCAAGCCTAGCTTTCAGCCCTGCTTTCTTTTCAGAACAGTGGGAGTGGCTATCTGCAGAGCAATGTGGGAGGTTCAGTTAAAGCCATGGATTAGGCTCAACTAGGCACTATCCTTGCTCTCAGAGACCCTGACTGCCTCCTAACACAGAGGCTTCTCATCTGCTACCCCCTTAAAGGGTGTTGGTAAACCTCAGGACCTTTTCCCTTGAAACACTCACCTGGACTAACAAGTGGCCTGAGTTAGGCAGGCACGCGCCCTGTTTCTTTGTGTCCTCATTCATCTGCTTTACCAACTGCACCAGTGTCTCCACTGCCCCTTTGCCGATCATCTCGGTAAGGAACCCTGGACTCCCAGAAAGGAATTTCAGAGCCCCCATGCAGTAGAGAAACGCCTCAGTGTTGCTTGGCAGGTCTTCGCCCCTCAGCACCTCCAGCAGCGGTTCTGCCAAAAAGACGCATATATATAAATGTCTGAGGAAAACAGAAACTTTGGGGTTGGCACACAATTTGCCAAAACACATTTGTCCAAAACTACAAGCAAATGTTCCTGAAGCTGCAACAAATCTTCCCCATAGGGATGGGGACGAAAGGAGGGGCTGTCCATTGGCACAGGAGAAGGAATGCCACTTTCGTGGCTCTTCCCACCCTTTAGTTTTTAGTTACAAAGATTTCAAGTTATTGTTGAGTACTAGTGACGAAAGCAGGCTAAGAACTAATTTGCAACAAATCTTCAAGAATGCATTTCTTGCTCTCCTGATGGGACATGGCTCCCGTGGGGACTTTAAAAACAAGCTCAGTTACTGAAAAAAGATCTTTTGAATATAGCATCCACCCCTTCCCAGGACAGCTGAAGAATACTTCCCTCCCTGAGCATGGGGGCAAGAATGTATTAGCTCAGCCTTCGGGAGGGCCTAAGCAGAAAAATCGCAGTGAATTTGAGCCCAGCCTGGGCTGTGCTCAGTGAGGCCCTGTCTGTAAAAACAAACAAACAATAAACAAACAGCAAGCAGGCAGAAACTCAGTGGTGCTCCTGGGCTCCCAGGACTGCCCAGAACAAACAGATAAACCCAACAACAACGGAGACCCGCTGACTGATCCTGAGGCCGTAGAGCTAAAAACAGGTTTTTGGAGAATTCCAAAGGAGTTCAGGAAGGTTAGATGGAGACACCACCTTTGGGGATGAGAATGTCAAAGGGACCCTTCCAGGCTTTGTTTTCGATCTGTGATTCTCAGTTAAGTGACCTGAAGTTAGATGTTCTTTCAGCCCTGGTTTTGTCCCTGCTTGCTGAGATCATTGTCCCCTGTTACAGAAGGGAACCGCACTGCTTTTCATGGTTGCCTCCTCTTCTGCAGGAACTGCACAAGCCCCGAAAGCTTCCTACTGTGCAGCTCCGTCTACTTCTTAATTGTTTGGGACATGTTAGGAGTCAGGCTTCGTCAGCCAGGCTGAGACTGGGGTACTGAACTGTGCCCACATCAGTGGCCTGAAACAGTTGCAACTGTCTCTTCAGTTTTGTTTTTTCACTTATTCCTATTACATCAAGAGATTAGAATTTCTGATTATGTCAAAAGCTTTTAGGTGGGTTTATTCTAACAGTAACTCTAGGCATAGGAAATAAATTTTTTTTTTTGGCTTTTTTGAGATAGGGTTTTTCTGTGTAGCCTTGGCTGTCCTGGACTTGCTTTGTAGATGAGGCTGGCCTCCAGCTCACAGAGATTCACCTGCCTCTGCCTCCCCGAGTGCTGGGATTACAGGCATGGGCCACTGGGCATGGGTGGAAATGATTTTTTTTTTTTTTTACAGTGATTTCATCAAGTCACACAACCTCACTACAGGCATCGAAAAAGCAAAACCAAAGCCCAGTGTGTGCCCCAAGACTCTAAATGCTGCTTTCGAGCAATGCAGGAAACTGAGAAGGCTAAGGAAAACAACCATCATGACTGCATTTTCCTGGGAAGTAAAATCTCACTACCCTTCGCTCTCGCTTTCCTCTAGGGACTGGGACTCTGTGCTCGGGTGCAGTGGCTGCACCCACCAGGGCTGATGGAGGCTCACCCAGGATGTTGTCGCTCTGCATCAGGGCATCGTTCTCCTCGTTCCTGCTGACTTTAAATACCAGCTTGCAGACATTAAGAAGATTCTTCCCGCTCACTTGAAGCTGCAGAGAAAGAACACACTGGCGTTTCTGGGCAGAAGGAAATAAAGGCTCTAAAACCTCTAAAACCTCCATCCTCAGAGTGCAGGAAGAGGGTTTTAAACATAGGAAACGTTACAATTTTTGTCAGTTATATTATCTAACTCAGTTGTACTGAAAACAATTCTGGCAACCTTTCAGGCTACTTTAGGGACGTTTGTCTCTCACTGGTGTTCATATATAAAACTATTAGGTATTTTTAAAAGAGTGTGCCATTGAACAGAGTAGTTGATTTAGAATACAACGGTAAAGAATGAAGGATACCAAAGTTCAGATTAAACTAACCTAGAAAAGCATGGGAAGCGATGGAAAGAAAACAAAAATGAAACATATCCCCTCCACCATTTGTATAAAAAAGAACTTAAAAAAAAAAAAACCCAATACTTTAGAGTGTGCTTATTCTTGGGGCTGTTTCTGAAATGCTTTTAAGTAATCATTGTTTGAAGCTGAAATTACTTTCTAAACCACACAACAATATCTAAGTCAGTTAAGCACGAGGCAATGAGGAAGTACGATCTCTTTTTATAAAACTAGCCCAGTGACCAGCAGAACCAAGGATTTATACTACCTGCATGTTTATTCAAAGTCGAAAAAAAAATAACAATGGAGAATAGTCTAATAAACTGTGGAACAGCAAAACTATTCAAATTAGGTAAGCACCCCCAAAAAACTTCTACTTGTCTTTCGTACGTTTTGTTTTTGCTAAGACACGGTCTCACTATGTAGATCAGGATGACCTTGAATTTATAAAGATTAACCGGCCCCTGCTTCCTGAGTGCTGGGATTAAAGCCATCAGGCCCATACTCATTTTTATATTTTATTGGTGTGTGTGTGTGTCTGTGTGTCTGTGTGTGTCCGTGTGTGTCTATGTCTGTGTATCTGTGTGTCTGTGTCTGTGTGTGTCCGTGTGTGTGTGTCTGTGTATCTGTGTGTGTCCGTGTGTGTGTGTCTGTGTATCTGTGTGTGTCTGTGTGTGTGTGTGTCTGTGTCTGTGTGTCTGTGTCTATGTGTAGAAGCCAGAAAACACCTTGCAGGACTTGGTTCCCTCTTATTATCACATATGCCCTAAGGCTCAAACTCAGGCTATTAGGTTTAAAAGGAAAAACATATCTAATTTCTGGGTCAGGCTGGAATATTGTGCCCTCAAGCAACAGTGTCTGTAGGAGTGGGGCCCTCTGAACAAATAAAGAATTCTGTGTGAAAATCTGGCATAAGGGTCATTGTTTTACTATTTAAGACGTCATCTTTCATGTACTTTGTTGGGTTTTCAGTTAATGTTTTTGAAAGATAATAGAATATACCCGAGTTATCTGTTAGGTCCACAGATTTCACTGAGCACTCAGCTGTTCATGGGATGAGCTGGTCCCTGAGGGAGACAGAAGAATGGGCACGTGTGTGGAGCTGGCAAGGCTGGTCAAGGGCACACAGTGGAGCACCGCCCTGCCATGTCTGCTCTGGGCCTGGATTCTGCTCAGGATCGCAGAACCTGGCCCTGGTGTCCTCCCTGCTCTACAGAAAGAAGATGGCCTCAGACCTGCCCACGGAGCTGTCCCCAGCCCAGCCCCACTCCTGTCAGGGCCCGTGTTTTAATAATTTGCCAGGGCAGTCACAGGAAAGAGTAGGGATCCCTTCTGCTCTCAGGAAGAAAAGGAAACGGGAAGTTAAAAGTTAGGACAGTTACTGCCATAACATGGCTTTTAAACCCCAGCAAAGCAGCTGACTGAGGCAAACAGAAAACCCTTTCCACATCTGGGCGAGGGCAGGCTGTGCTGGCCGACTCTGCTGGGAGGCCTGAGGCTGGGATCTCTGACCAGCTAGCTCACCTTCCTGCTGTGGTGGGTAACCTCTGCTCCCCACCTGACAAAACACACCCGTGAGTGAACCTATCTCCCACCTCCCCGCCGCCCACCTTCTGCTTCCAAAAGCAGCAAACACCAACAACAAAATCAAACAACAGCAGCAAAAACAAGTGTGCGAGTGTCATCAAAGCAACATTAACAGCCAGGGGTACTATGCCCAACAGTGAGACTGTCAGAGGTGCTGGCTGGCTGTGTCTCTGTCTCTTCCCTTAGAGTTCGGTGGTCCTGGGTGTTTGCTTGCCCTATTTACAGGCGTTCCCAGGGCTACAGTGAATTCCTGGAGATGTATGTTTTTCTGGTAGGGTGTTTTTCTTCATACAATAAAACTGATGCTCTTGGCCAGGCATGAGTGCACACCTTTAATCCCAGCACTCAGGAGGCAAGAGGCAGGTAAATCTCTATGAGTTTGAGGCCAGCCTGGTCTAGAGAGGGAGTTCTAGAACAGCTAGGGCTACACAGAGAAACCCTGTCTCAAAAAAAAACAAAAAACAAAAAAACAAACAAAACAAAATCCACAAACAAACAAACAAACAAAAAACCCAAATCAAGACAACAACAAAACAAAACAAGATGCTTCGGTTTTGTTTGTTTTCCAAATTAAAGAAGTTTGAAATAATTTCTGTCCTCCCACCATATCTAATCACAAATGACGTATAAGCCATTTCCTTCTGGCTGTTTCCTCTCTGCCAAGGGTGCTAGATTTTACCCTTCCACTCCTGGGGAGGATGTACTCTAAATACAGGCTGACATATTTTCACAAGATGTTTTCTGAAAGGATTAAAATTAACATGGCTGTTTGGTAGATCTCTACTGAGCCAAAGAATTCAAGAAATTGGAACAATTCACGTGCTTATTGCATATTTTTAAATAAATACTGTTAAATGATTGAACTGTAATATCAAACTGGTGAACAGGAAAAAAAAAGATAATGGTAAGAAGAAGAGATTCAGCATAGAGCTTTGGGTTCTATATGTCTTTAGTCTTTTGCTCATATTTCTTCCATGGTTCTTTATTTTTAATTTATTTGTTTTCATTTTGTGTACATTGGTGCTCTGCCTCCACACATGTCTGTGTGAGGGAGTCAGATCCCTTAGACCTGGAATGACAGACACGTGTGAGCTGCCATGTGGGTGCTGGGACTTGAACTGGGGTCCTTTGGAAGGACAGCCAGTGCTCTTAACCACTGAGCCATCTCTCCAGCCCCCGCTTCCACAGTTATCACAATGTGGTGCCTTGAGAATTTATACAGAAACTCATTCTAAAGCCTCCTCTGAACAGGGTCTCCCCTGAGATGTCACAGGAGATCCAAGAAGCCAGTTGGAGGTTGGATGTCATTGCTCTGACAATCCCTTTTGACTTGGCAGCTCTACAGTAAGAGGGCACCCGTGGGCTGGTTCAGCGCTTAAGAGCTCTGGCTACTTTTACGGAGGACCTGGGTGCCCAGGTTCAGTTCCCTACCCACATGGTGGCTCACAACCACCTGTAATGCCAGTCCCAGGGAATCTGATGCCATCTTCTGGCCTCAGTGGGCACAAGGAACGTACAAGGTGCACGCACACATATGCAGGTGAAACATGCTTACACATAAAATAAGGTGATGGTGTTTTCTAGAAGAAGAAGGCCGTCTAACCCTGCTTTGCAACTTAACCTTGCCAAGTGGGTTTTTACCTACTCAACATCCAGTTCAGAAGGCCTGAACTGTTAAACTATGTCACACACACACACACACACACACACACACACACACACACACACCGATTTGCGCAATTAGCTGAGGTAATATTTTTTACTACAAAGCATAAATAGATCTGTGGTTCATTCTTTCTTCCTCTTCTTTTTGGTTCATCATGAAACAAAAACATCTAGAATGCAGATAAAAAGGTAAAGTGGGTCCCTGGGTGCTGGCAGCCTGGCTGGGCCTCCACCAGCTGGAGAATAGAGTGGCTCTTTCAGAGGCATACTGCACTGAGTCACATACCCCGATTTCTAAAAGGAGACTAGTTTATGATGGCAGCTAAGTCAGGGTGTAGTCTCCACCTAAAATTACACAAAAATGTGCCCAGAATATTCTGCTTATGAAAGACGTCATTATCAAAATAAGATAGGAGGGACACGTTTGCTGTGCTATTAGGGCACGGGGTTGCCCTTCAGTCAGCTAGCTCTCCTGTCCTTGTACGAATGAGGGGGGTGGATGGGAACTATTACTTTTATAGAAAGGTAATGCCTTGCCCATTTCTTTTTGCTTGCTCTCTTAGAACATTCCATAATGGCCCTGCCTTATCTTTTTGGTTCCAACTGTTGATGCCCGTGACGACAAAGCTGCCATCAGGTTTTGTTTTAGGCAGAGCTGCCACAGGCTTTCATTTGGCATGGGCCTCTTCTCCTAACACTCCGCAGAAGTTTTCGATGGCCACCGAGGGGCGGTCCTGTGACCGTGTGCAGCTGGCTTCCTCTCTCGCACTGGCTCACAAAGCACCTGGCCGCTGTCTTGATTTCTTAGGCTGTAAGACAGAGTCAGGCAGAAGCCACAGCGCTTTCCCAAACTACACTTAGTCTAGTCTGAGCAACCGGGTTGGCTATGTTTGCTGCTGTCACTCATTCGTCCCTTTCTTGACTTTCTGTTTTTCTCTCTTACTTTTAAAATAAACTCTATGTCGAGGTAACCCGTCTGTGTTTGGCCTTGTTCCTCAGGAAATACCTTCCAGTCCAGAGCTGGGATACAAGCTGATTGCCTTAGTTTTTCCAAGATTCTAACAGACACATCACATTTTTTTTTCATCTCTTTGCAATATGTACAAACAAACCACTTGACCAGATGGAGGGCAGGACAGAGGAAAGGCAAACTTACCGCTAGGATAAGCTTTGCAAGTTTCAGGCTGAGCGGGTCTGAGCCGGTGTCCACTAGCTTATACAGGGCGTTCAGCAGGGAGCCTCTCCTCTTGAACTTCTTCCCGAGCATGTGCCCTTCCTCCAGCGTGCGATGGAGCTGCGTGCACGCCACACACTTGGAGTCGATGTCTTCTGTCGGAGCAAAGAGAACATCCACCACTTACTCATAGGGCTGGGTTTTCGGATGCGCCAAACATAAGCAGTGTAAGGGAAAGCTCCAAATTCCCAGACACCATTTTCCTCTCTCACATCACTTCCATCTACTTGACTGTTTTCACCTCTTTCATCTGTCTCCTAGGTTATGTCATTTGCGTTTCTGCCTCCAATTCTTAAAAAAAAAAAAAAAAAAAAAAAAAGGTTGCAACATTCCAAAAGGAATGAATGTTACCTTGCAGTGCTATTTTGGTTTCACGTGTGAATAGGTGTGGTGTGCCATGTACAGACAGATGTTTTCACTGAGTGGGGGATAGTGACTGCCGCGTCTGCATGGTAGAGCAAGAATGCTATGTGGATCTACAACTCACAACTTACTTCAAGCAAGCCCACCTTCTCCTCTGTCTGTCGATAAAAACAATAATAGCCTGTTTTGTTTTGTGGGGGGGTTGTTTGTTGGCTTGTTTTTGTTTTTCAAGACAGGGTTTCTCTGTGTAGCCCTGGCTGTCCTGGAACTCACTTTGAAGACTAGGCTGGTTTCGAACTCAGAGAGACCCGCCTGCCTCTGCCTCCCAAGTGCTGGGGTCAAAGGCCGGCCCTGCCGCCTGACTATGCTCCTTTCAAAATGACTGTCATCTGGGGGAAATAGACATAGTAACATCCACCATTACTATTGGAGGGAAGACTTTTCAAAAGATGTTAGTTAGGAAAGAGGGAGACTAGAACATTTAATTTATAGCCGTGATCCAGGGGAAGGCGATTTTGGAGAGCAGCTTAACAGCCTGGCAGGAGCACAAGGGGAGACAAAAGGATTCATGGTATGCTGGGAAGTATTGCCTCTGATAGACCCACCACAAAATTTGCGAGTGGGAAGCCAATCTTTAAATACCCTAATGCCAGCTTGGCTGCTGACACGGAGGACGTGTGCGCCAGCAAAAGGCAGTGACTCAGGCCATTTTTAGGTCTTTTCAACAATAACATCTAAGAAAAAAAGTTTAACTCTCAATAGCAAAATACACCCCAAAGCCTCTCAGATCTGCTCTTAAATAAATGAACTGATGGGAAATGACCTAGACCAACCTAAGATCAAGAAAGAAGCCTGTTGCTGCGGTGCTTTGTTCTCTGACTGGCACGCTTTGGGGGTGGGGCTTCTCAGCTGAGTGTTCTCAGCTGCTCAGGTTCTGCTGCTTGCAAACGAACCAGAAAGGAAGGCTTAAAGTTTCAACTACTGCTCAGGTGAGCCCTCTGTGTCAGTCAATTGGCTACAATAGTTACAAATGCCACTTGGAGTACTGCACTCCGGAGTTGGGGCAGGAGGATGGCGAGTTCAAGGTAAGCCTTGGTTACATATGGAGACCCAAGAAGCCAAAGCAAGACCAGACAGAAAGGTGCATGGCCTCAAAAGACATCATAAGAGCTGAAATCAGTTAAGTGTTTCAAGAGAAATCTAGAGAAACACAGTTGCCAAGTAACTTTCCCTGACAAGTCATGCTTACCCCCAAAGGGAAACCCAGCAGCTACACAGAGCAGGAGCCTGGCAGACACCACCTGACCCAAATGATCAGAATTCCCATTTCCAGTAAAGGGTAGGTCAGCAGGTGGGCCTCCTGCCACGAGAGGGCGGCATGGGTGCGCAGAGATTCCTGCCTCAGAGGCCCAATCTGGGTTTCAGTATGAGGGAAAGCCAATGTGTGAGTGTTCTGTGCAAAAAATGGCCTGGTTTTTTTTGTTTTTGTTTTTGCTTTTGTTTTTGTTTTTCACTTGTATCAGGATCGTGAAAGGGCTGTGGCAGATGATTGCAATTTGTGGCCCAGGGGCTTTTTTTTTTTTTTTTTTTTCCTAGAAAGGGACAATAAGCAAAAATAATCATAGGGACAAGCAGCAAAATGCAGACAAGATTTGTCCAGTGTTGTATGATAACTTCCAGATATGGAAAAGAACATTGTTGCTTCTAAAACTAATAAACAGAAAATCATGGACTAAAGTAGCTAAGAATATAGATTTTGGATTTGTTTTTTTTATTATTTTGTTTCATTTTGAGACAGAGTCCCATTATGTAGTGGAAGCTGGCCTTGAAAAGTGTTAGCAACGTGTTCTCAAAAAGTTCTAGAGAGAGAGAAAAAAAAAGCAATGTGGGAGGGGGCAGAGAAAGAGGGACACACAGAGAAGAAAAATTCAGTGTGGTAGAACATTAGTGCCAGAGAATCCAGGAGAAGAGCAACCGGGACTTTTAAAAACTATTCTATTAACTATTTTAACTTATCTGTTAACTACTTAACAGATCAACGGAACTACAAAGTGTCAGGAAACTGGACTTAATGCTACTTGCTCTTTTTATATTTGCCTAGCGACAGAGATGTGCTATTTCTGGGTTTTGCTTGCTGGTTCTGTTTTTGACACAGCCTCTGGCGGTGGAACCTGGGCTGGCCTTGAACTCACAGCTTCCCAAGGGTGAGGGTTTCAGGCCTGGCGACATCCCACTGTTTACTGATCTGAGAAGGGAGAGTCACCTATATCTCACACCCCAGACTCCTCAGTGCTGTACCGAGTTTGCCCTATTGATGTCTGGCGGGCAGAATGCTGGGCATCCACTCGTGACCCTGCCGTTGGGAGATCTGCCTTCCAGACAGGCCTCCTGCCTCAATGATTCCCATGTGGTTTCTAACCCTTGCCCAGAGCCACTGTTCTCACTCAGCTTGCATTCATTCCCTGAAGGAATGGCCCCATGTCCACTGGACAAGCTAATAGGAGGAAGTAGTGACTCCGTGGGGAAGTGTTTTCACGTTCGGAGGTGACGTGGTTTCTTCCTTCTCTGGGTACAGAGTTCACGTGGAGCACCGGGCACCTGTTGTTAGCACTGAGGCCAGAAAGCCTGCCTGGAGGCTTTCTGGAGGATCCTGGAGGATCTGCCCCATGGAGAGGACATGGAGAGCCTAGCCACAGCACAGCACTGCAGAAACAATAGCTGCACTCTGGGCAGAGTGCAGGAAATCTTATGAAAGAAGGGGAGATAGAAAGACCTGGAGGGGACAGGAACTCCACAAGGAGAGAAACAGAACCAAAAAATCTGGGCCCAGGGGTCTTTCCTGAGACTGATACTCCAACCAAGGACCATGCATGGAGACAACTTAGAACCCCACAGATGTAGCCCATGGCAGTTCAGTGTCCAAGTGGGCTCCCTAGTAAGGGGAGCAGGGACTGTCTCTGACATGAACTCAGTGGCTGGCTCTTTGATCACTTCCTCCTGAGGGGGGAGCAGCCTTACCAGGCCACAGAGGAAGATAATGCAGCCAGACCTGATGAGACCTGATAGGCTAGGGTCAGATGGAAGGGGAGGAGGACTCCCTCTGAGTGGACTAGGGGAGGGGCACGGGAGGAGATGAGGGAGGGAGGAAGGGCGGGATTGAGAAGGAACGAGGGAGAGGCCTACAGCTGGGATACAAAGTGAATACATTGTAATGAATAAAAATAAATTAAAAAAACAAAACAAAACAGAAAAACCAGCAAGCACTAGCCACTCAGGAAACAGGTGTTCTGCACCATACAGCCGCAGGCTGTGAGGAAGCATGTACTCTGCATCTAGTGGAGCATCTTCTGGTGTCTGCCATGTTGCTCATGGGTCCCACAGTAGTCATTCAACCAGTCCTAGCGAGGGCCCACTGTGCACATGGCACTCAGCATGAGTCTTGCTCTGTGGCTCTGACCAAGGGTCCAGAGCGGTCTAGTTCACCTTCCCAGATGGAATTCTAGGGGGAAAAATTGGGTAACATCCTCTCAGTGGCTCCTCATCCCCTCACAGGAACGCCTCATTGTGGCCCTTAGGAGCAATAGACAGGACCCATGCCAGGCCACTTTCTTGAGCAACCAACCTTAAGAGGAGCAAGAATCACCAAAACTATGGCCATAGCTCTCACTGACCAGGCCATGTGGCTCACTCAGTTCAAGAGATCTGTATTCCTTGACCTTCTAGGATGTGCACAGTCTCCCTGAGGAGGCTGAACCAGCATTTGCTCAAGTAGAGAAGGTGTGCTATCATGCACTAGTGGGCTCTTTTACAAGCTGGCTCTCTTGGTACATTCCAATCATAATTTTACTCATTAATAACGGTTTACATAATACTTACCATACACATTTACAGGGTGAGTAAAAACATGACATTATTTGTTTTCCAACACATCCAAAGAAATGATGGTCAAAGTACACTGAAAATATCAGGGCAGCGGGGAGCAGACAAATAAACGGAAAGTTTTTATTGTAAACAAGAGCTGTTGTTTTACCCTTTTCTAATTCATGCAAAATCGGTACAATCCGTGTTTTCCAAAAGACTTCATCTATGTCTATTTCTGTCTCCTGTTCCTGTAAGGTCTCTCTTGAGGCTGCAAAGAAACCCGGAGAAGGAAAAAGCAGTGTGAGAAAGGATGGATAACAGGGCACACTCAAGAGCCTTTCCTAGGCGTCGCTAAGATTAATAAACCACAGAATCAAATCTCACTTTACTCTGGGTCCCACCTTTAACGAGAAACATGGCTCTTTTTATCAGAACTGCAAACAAAACTCAGTTGAGCTATTTCAAAGCAACAGGACTTCCAACTGGGGTTAGAGCAGTTCACAGAGCAGAATGCTTCGAAAAGTTGCTGGCCATAGGAAGGCAAACTGATTTCTTTTTTTACTTAAAACTTTCACCTCTGTAACATGCAATAGACATACAATACATACATACGACTCTATTATTGATATATAGAGTGACCTTTACTCTATCCAGCTTAGAACTTTTCTAAGCCCGTTTTCCTCATCAGCAAAATAGGGGAAGATTTGCTTGTAGGATTATGAAAGCTAAATGCCACAAGGGAAGCAAAGCTCTGCCAGGGGGCACACATCTGGGTCTCCCTCAGCCTCGCTCCTCTAATGTCTGCCTCCTGAGTCCCTCGGCTGGCACCACAAGAAATGTACATGAAATGCAGGAAGTAGTAGGAGCAATGAGAAGATTCTATGCACACGATCGTCTTTCTTTTTCCTTATTGATTTTTACAACTCTTGATTTGTTGTGTCCTCTGAACTGTAGCACCTACCTGCCTGTACACATACCCACACACAGATACACACATTTACACATAATTAAGAAGTCTGTCCGGATAAAATGAGGAGAACTCCGTGTATAGCCCACAATGGCCTGTGTTTAAAAATTAACTGGAATTCAGCGACATCTGAAATTAATCTTCCAGTCACCAAATAAGGAACTCTTCCCCCACACAGTGCTGATGTTCCTTAAGAGAAGCAGGGAAGCCAGGCAATTATCACCTGCCTCCCAACGCCCAGGACCCTCCACTGCCTTTTGGGAATGTCTCTTCCCTGTTGCAAGGCTAGGCCTGTTTTTCATCTTTAGGCAAGCACCAAAAGCAAACTGGAAATTCTTGACAACCCAACTGGGCTTAAATGGCAAAGATACAATGTAGTCGCAACAGTAAGACTTTGGTGAAACTAGGCAGCCCATAAGCAAGACTTCAACATAAACCAAAAACTGAACTGGCTTTAACACAGACGTAGTCCACTGGAGTGCGGACTCAGGGCTCCCTTTTCTAACCTGTGGGGCAGGATTCAGAAGTGCCCAGGCTGCATAAAGGAGGCAGTGTTCAGGACAGGTCTTTTCCCAGCAGTACGTAGGCTACAGCAGGACACACGGACATTCACACTAGCAGCACAAACACTACGGCTCTGGTCAGATCTGCCACTAACTGTGTTTGAGAGATATTTCAACTTTTGGAACGTTGAGGTTTTCAGAAAATCAGATAAAAGACTGTAGACTATCATCTCAGCCTTTTGGCTTTTTTTTTTTTTTTTTTTTTTTTTTTAAGTAACTGAACTAGATAAAACACGCATATGATTCTGAAAGTAAATGTAAATATTCAAGCAGTATAAAAATACAGCTGCTCATATACCTAGGTAACTAATCTACTTACGGGTGCAAAGGATAAAAACAAAATCAGCATTTATGAAGGCAAATAAAAGGCCGGAAGTTGATAAGTCAATAATTGTCAATTTTCTTGATATGAAAACAAATGTACTAGAAAGCTGGCTGGAGATGGCGTGGTGGGTAAACTATGGGCTGCTGCAAGCATGAGGACCTGGCTTCAGATCCCCAGCACTCATGTAGGAAGCCAGGTGTGACGCTGTACACCTGTAATCCCAGGACAGGGGTGCAGAAACAGGCAGATGCTGGGAACTTGCTGCTCAGCTCAGTGTAACCAAAATGGTGAGCTGCAGGTCCAGCAAGAGACCATGCCTCAAAAAATAAGGTGAAGCGTGACAGAGAAAGACAACTGACGTCACCTGCTGGATGTAAAAAACCAAAAATGACTAGAGCTTTGGGCTTTAGATCCGAATGGTCTTCAGAAAACAAAAACAAAACCAGCCAACCAAAAGCAAAACAGAAAACCCTATACAGGGCACTGTGTGCTCTTCAACATGAAGCTGTTACCGGCTAGTCCTCAGGAAGAGTGAGATCAGTCAACATATTCCCCCCAGGAAGAGACAATCGGCAGCATGAGTCAGAGACCACAAAAGTGTAGCCACCTTCTAAGACACTTGTGAAACTGTTCAGACTCATTCTGAGAAGCTAAACACTGTGGGATAAAGATTTCTCCTCAGTCTTCTCCCAGGGATCCCCGATTACCACACACACACACTTTGCCTCAGTCTTGTAGGGGGACTTAAAAATTTAAAAAGCACTTTCTCCTAGTGTAATAATACTTCTAGGTTCACAGTGTGCTAAATATAAAAATTATGATTCAACGGGAAATTGGGTAAGTCGGGCAAGGAGTACTGCCTGTTTTTGAAGACTTTGCTGTCTCAGTGGTTGAAGCTGTTAACCGCAGCTTTGAGTTTTGGACCCAACAGCTTGACACAATGTTAGGATTGGCTGAAGCCTTTAGCATGCAAACATAACCCCCCTGGCAACAATACTGTCTCCGGAATGAGAAGGGCTTAGATTCGGCTGACTTCTAGACACACTCCCTGTGACCGTGAAAGACCCCTTTCTGAGGAGAGCTAGTTTGAAGACACTATTTTTCAGGCAGTGCTGGTTTGATGTCATTTATCATCCTTTTCATTTTTGTTGAGACAAGGTCTTACTGTGTAGCTCAAGCTAGGCTGAAATTCAGACTCCTCCTGTCTCTGCTTCTAAAATGTTCGGCTTTATCTATTCATATTCATGGAGCCTGACATAAACTTTGTGTGAAGTAAATATATATATATGAAGACTATAACAAACACCTGTTCAACCCTGAGTAGTTTGGTCCAACGCCAACATTGTGCCACGTTTTTATCCTTTTCTTTATTTTAAAAACATAAAGCCTTGCAGGGTTCAAGCCTTCTTCTTGCCTACCCTGTCCATATCCTTCTCACTTGGGTGTCGCCAGCCTTCAAAATGGGGGTGACAGCATGCTCGTCTCTCCAGCTGTGACACCGGGATCCCTATAACTCCAGTTTCTGCAACTTGGCGTGCCACCTGCTGCCTGGACTTCAGTGTTACAAATGCTCACTGCCATATTTTGTACCATTTCTAGCCCTTGGCCTGTAACACCGTATATCTCCTCAGGCAGAATAAAACTCCTAAAGAGCTTTCAGAATATAATTTTACAGTTTCATTGGGCAATGCTTTCAAACTTAAGCCAAGAATTACACTGATATCAAGTCTGGCCTTCCTCCACATACTTTTCCCTCTACAATTTCCCTGAGATTCTGTCTATGTTGAAGGCATCAGACATGAGTATTGGTTAAGACTGCAGTGAAAAAATGAAAATGTAGAAAATACACAGTTTCCATGGCCTGAAGTTGTTAAAAGGATGCAGTGTGGCACTTTAGACACTGCTGGAATCAACCCCTGACTTCTTCCTAACATTGCCACCCTGGCTTAATAACACAAAGATGCCGGGGATGAGGGCCAAAGAGCACACTCACCTGTTCTGGCTTCCTGCCTGCTCAGGTCTGAGCTGCTAGGACATGAGGAGGTCCTGGCACACCACTTCCCCTGGTCCCTAGGAGGAAGCGGAAAGAATGAAACACAAAGGTATTTTCACTTTTATAAGCTGCAATTTGTTCGGGTCAGGCTTCGAAAGAAACCACAGAGAATAGTTTAAGAGACAGGCTTGGTGTTCAGTTGTCTGCTTTAATGTGCCTTTGCCTTCTAACTAAGATTTATCTGTGAGAACGTAAGTCTACCAGCTTAACAGTATGAAATATAACACTAGAAAGAACCAAAAAGGTAAATTCAAAGTTGACTTGGGAGGGGAAAAAAAAAAAAAAAGGTTAATGATACCGACCACAAGAGGTCGCCGTTACAACAAGAAACAGGAAAGCCAGCCTCATGTGCCCAAGGTCACAGGGCAGGGTCAGTTCTGGAATGCAGAGCTTGTGAATTTCAACCCACTGTTCTTTCCACTGCAGCACGGTATGTGCCATTTCCATTTAAAAACTTAATTCAATTAATAGTCTCTAAAATTGTTCTTAGAAATATTTTAGATGTTAAAAAAAAAAAAAGCAGGCAGTATATTTAGGCAGCGTCCCGCCCCCCCATGAGAAGCGGAAGGGTGGGGCTGGCTAGCCCGGGAGGTGCCTGACTCTGCAGCACTGTGGCCTGGCTGCTGCTCTTCTCAACTACAGCTGACTTGAAGGCATTGACTTTAAATATCTGTATAAAATCCCAGTGTCAAAAAGCACTGATAGGTTGACGAAGGCAAGTCTGACACAATTTCTTTTGGGTGATCCCATATGCTTGCAATAATAATATAACAATAAGAATATAAATAATAAATTGTTATAATTTTTTTTTTTTTTTCCAGACAGGGTTGTCCTAGCACTCGCTTTGTGGACCAGGCTGGCCTCGAACTCAGAAATCTGCCTGCCTCTGGCTCCTGAGTGCTGGCATCAAAGGCGTGCTCCATCACCTGGGAAACTGATTTGCTTGCCTGTATCCGTCTGTGGCCACGGTTCCTGTGAGCACCTGTGCTGGCTTCTTGGGGAGCGAGCTCACCAGCGAGGCTCAGCTCCATACTTGGCCCCCCAACCCCATGCCTTTACTAGTGGACTTTAGCCTCTTTAACTAGCTTTTGGGATTTTTTTTTCCCCCTGTCATCATGTTTTTGTGTTTAAAGTCTGGGTGCTTCGTTTTGTAATAAAATAGGGAATCTTGATGGGGTTCAAGTTAAAAAAAAAAAAAAAAGTCAGTGGTGCACGCCTGTAATCCTGGCACTCAGGGAGGCAGAGGCAGGTGGATTGCTGTGAGTTCAAGAGGCCAGCCTGGTCTACAAAGTGAGTTCAGGAAAGCCAAGGCTACACAGAGAAACCCTGATCCTCCCTTCCCCCAAAAAAGCTCCAGTTCTCTGAAAAACAGTTTTTGTAGCAAGATGCTCCTAGCCATTAAAATAAAGACTATGGAGATGGGCCTCCTCAAAGACAGAAATAAAGGACTCAGCCCCATGGAAAGATTTTTGAAGCAAGATTTCAAGAGTTAAAAAAAAGACTTCAAGAGTGACATGAGAGCCAGTGGCAGTGGCATAAGCCATTGATCCCAGCACTCGGGAGGCAGAGGCAGGGGGATCTCTGAATTCAAGGCCAGTGTAGTCTATGGAGTGTGTTCCAGGACACAGAGAAACCCCGTCTTGAAAAAAAATTTTTTTTTACATGAGATCCTATCTCACAAAACCAACCCTACAGCCGCCCATCCCACCCCGGCAGAGGATTCACAAACCCTCATCCACACATCTAGCCAATCCTAATGAAACTCAAGGGGACACACACACACACACACACACACACACACACGCACACACGCACACGGCAGGAGGGAGGGAGGGGAGCAATGGGAGCGGAAAGAGGACAGGAGGGGGCAAGGGAGGTGAGATGCCAAAAACGCATGAGCTACAGGTGTGACGATCCACAGAACCCATCATCATCTGTAATGAACGTGCACACAAAAGCAGGGCTGGGGGGACGGCCCAGAGGGGAAAGGCGCTTGCCCTGCAAGCCTGACGGCCTAGGTTTGATTCCCAGAACCCACATGAAGGCGGAAGGAGGGGACCAACTCCAGAAAGCTGTCCCCTGACCGCCACAGGGGTTCTGTGGCCATGTACACACCCACCATAATAGGTAAAGTCTTAAAATTAAAAGAAAAAAAAAAAAAAAAAAAAGACCTCCATCGGGTAGATAGCCAAGGAAGTTCATGTCTAGACATAACCTGAAATTTTAAAGTCAAGAGTTTCACACGTATGATGTGTGTATCTGTATGTATGCATATATACATGTGTGTATGTCCCCTGAACAAACACTGAAATCTGTCACAACAGTTTTCGGCTCACAGGGACCCCACCCCCCCCCACCCACACACACACACATCCGCCTAGTACCTGTCCACTCTCCCCGAGTCATGGCCAGGGGTGAGGCTGGCTCCGTGACAGCTCATCTGCGCAGCCTCACTTTGGAAAAGAGTGAGGCCGGCGGTCAGCAGGAGCAAAGGCTGGGCGCGGCTGCTCCCCCCTGCTCGGGGCTTAGGGCTCGCCGCCGCCGGAGGAGGTCATCACCGTGGGGTGGACACTGAGTGTGGGGATGCGCCACATCCCAGGTCGACACGGTCTTGTGACCTTGGGAACCCTGGCTTGATTTCCCCCTCCTAAATCTAAGGCAATGCCTTGGCCTAGGATGCCAGCCGGCACCCTGAGGGGCCTTAGCGGGCCGGCAGCACTTTAATTTCTCTTTTGAGTCCATAAGCACCTAGAGAGGCAATCTGACACAGGCACAGAAGGTGTTTTTTCTGGTGAAGGTCAGCATCTACCTGAATGGGAAAATCCAAACGACCTAGGGAGAGGCTGAGGAAGGAGGACGGCTGAGACCACAGGGGCCCCTTGGAGGACTAGAGACTGAACTAGCAACCGACAGTGCAGGTCACCGAAAGCGAGTGGCCTGAGTGAAGAAAAAAAAGGGGGGGTGGTCACAAGAGCCTGATCCCTCCAGCTCAGACTCAGGGAGCAGGTCCTGGCTCAGCCCCCCAGGAGCGATGGGTACCGAGAAGAGAAGATGGGGGCTGCACACGTTGGCTGGCTCAGGGGGTGGGCTCGGGTGGGCTGTGTTCACTGTCTCGCGGGGAGGAAGCGAGGTGGGAGGGGAAATCTTTCCTTCGCTGAGGAGGAAGAGGAACAGATGGCCCTGTGCGCCCCGCACAACTTGCACTGCCGACCGAGACCGCGTGAAACACATCTTTCTCTTCCCCGGAGGAGAAGATGCCGCCCTAGTCTCCTCGCGCCGCCTCCTGCGGCTTACAACCCCCTGGCGGCTGTGCGGGTGTAAGTTTTTAACTACAAGCAGGTTTCCTCATCGGTACGGAAGATGAGTCACGGTGCTCCCAGCACGGTGTTCCCACTGTGAGGCTGCTGGAAAGACAGAATGATCTGGAACAAAAAGCTCATCTGCCCATGCGCACTCTGCAGCCCTGAGCCCTCCGCGCGTCGTGTTTTCACACCTCTGCTGGCCCGTTTGTCTACAGCCAGCCTGTTTGCATCCCTTTGAAAAGACCCCCAGCTCTGCGCTCACACCGCGGCCAGAGGAAGAGGAGACGGTTTAAATGATGCCACAACAGCAGGGGGCCACAAGCCACGATTAGCCGATTCGCTTTTCTCACGTGGGCAGCTAGGGCACATGTCCCCATGCCCCAGACCTTTGCACGTTATTAAATTCCAGCAGCGCGCTGGCAGCCATTTCCTGCCCATCGGATAGATGTATTTGGGTCCCATTTCAGTCATCAAGAGGAACCATTCTTCCCAGCTTCCTGCTCCATATTATTAAACTGCATTATTAAATTTTTCACAATGATTGGGGTTTTCTTTGATGTGTCCAAATTTAAAAAAAAATCCTGGAAATTATCATTTGGCTCTTCTGTAAAATTCTTTTCAGAGGCAGAAAAAACCACCATGCCGCAAGTTAGGGCATCAGTCTACAAACAGAAACCTAGTTCTAAGGGCTTACACGGCGGTGGCATTTACTGTTGGGAGTGTGGGCTTTCGGTACGGCGTGATCAGGGGCTGTCATTTCTGCCGTGCTCTTAGCTGTGCCCTGGCTGTAGGCCAAAGTCCTAGCAAAAAGCAAATTTCCGTTTAAGCAGGGCCTCTCCTCCGCGGCTCTCGGGTTTCAGGACATGGCAGCCTCCTGTCCTGGCCTTTGCCAAGCGTCTTGCATTTCACTTGAAATACTAGAACCAACTGTAGCGGGCAAGGCTATGCAAGGGCGGGTGGCATCCCCGAGGCCCATCCACGGATGCAGCGGCCATCAATCATCCTGGTCACACCTACTCCTGGACCATAAATTCCCCAAGGAAATAAAATAATAGCTCTTTAAAATATCATAAAAATATAGATTTTGCTATAATTCAAGACAGTTCTTCTAGTTATTAGGATGACAGCTATTCAATTAAGTAAGGATCAGCGAATGTTTTCTTAAAGGGCCAGCCCGTACTTTGTCTTACAATTAGGGGACCAAGTGACAGAGTCAAGGCTGTTACATAGATGTTTCCAAAACTATTTAAAATGCAGTGTTTAAAAATATCTAAGCCATTTTTTAGCATGAAGACTGTATAAATAAAAACAAGTTAGAGCATACAGACAAACAGATTTGGCTCCTTGGCTATAACTTGTTGATCATTTCTTTAAGGCGATAAATGGTAATAAAATATTATTGGAAATAATAATAATTAGTCTTGGAATTTAAAAAAAATCCAATGATATTTTAAGGAAAAGTTGCATCTACAGAAAGAGAAAAGGAAATTTTAAAGAATGATAATAATTATAACAAAAAATACATGTGCAAAATTTGAACAGAAGTTTGCTTTGTCTTAAGAATAAGATATTTCATTCTTTAAAAATGGCTCCAAGATGTGCTGACCAAAATCCGTCTATAATTTGTCACTGACTCACAGACAGTACACAAACGCACAAGTCCAGCTGGGCTCCAACGAACCTCATCCTCAAAGGCAAGAAATGGATTTTCATTT